TCATCACAATTATATAGTTAAGTTAGTTTCTTTGAATAATTTTCTTTTTCTTGAATTTGAAATATGTGAAATACAAAGTATTATCTCTTTTATAACAGTTTTTTTATATTCTTGCATTAAAATCATACCAAAATATTCAAAATTTTTTTATTGGCTAATAAATATATGTTAAATACCACAGATTCAGAAAATTTTGACTTGAATTTTATGATATAGATATATTTTGCACTTATTTTAATAACTAATCATTAAATACATTTAACGACGTGGACTCGACAGATATAGTAAATAATTGAAATAAATACTTAGAATAATGGATTTAAAATCTTCTATCTAATCGCAGATATGCGCAAACGATAAATGATAAGTTTGCGAAAATAATTGCTGTTCAATTCGCGGTGACCGTGATGGTGGTGTGCTCAAATTTATATCGAATGGCTATGACAACAGAGTATATGAAATTTGTTCCATTGATAGTATATACAGGTTGCATGTTGGCACAGATTTTTATCTATTGTTGGTTTGGAAATGAAGTCAAGTTGAAAGTATATATATTTCATTTAAAACAAATTAATTTTATCATTAAACATAAATAAGATATAAGATAAATTAATAACAAGATAATAGTGATTAAGAAAAGGAACTAAAAACAAATATATGATATTTCCTTCTTGCAATATTTTCATGTTTATATTTATAGAGCCTTCAGTTGGCGAATAGTGTTTATAATATGAATTGGCTGAAACTTAGCAATAGCAGCAAGAAGGGTCTACTAATAATTATGAAACGTTCGACGATTCCCATTGAATTTAGTAGCGCGTATATTATCACGATGAATCTTGGATCGTTCGTAGCCGTCAGTATCAATAAATTAAAATAAAAATTATTGCTGACTGCAAACGTTTTGAATATTTATAAATACATCTATAATTTTTTACAGTTACTTAAGATGTCATATTCGTCTTTTAACTTGCTGCATCAAACAGAAGAACAATAACGTGTTTATTAAATAGAAAGTAATGTTTTTTATTTTTGTTTTTGGTTTTTTATAAAATCATGTAAGAAACGTAGACCTATATTAATAATTAATATTGATGCTAATCGTTTTATTAAAAACAAATAAAATTTTTAATGTCATTTTTTATAAAAATTTACTTAAAACTGCAATGTGCACAAAATATATTAGTGAATTTATAAATATATTTATTTACGAATAAAATTGTAAATTTAAACACAATATTGTAGAAAAAATTCATATTAATAGTAAAAATAAATAGAATTGTCGCATATATTTCTGTAGCACATATTTATTTTCTTTTCCTATAATTTCTTCACATCATTATCATGAAATGCTTTAATGATTATTTTAATAATTGAAGCAATTGTGGGATTAGATGTTGCAGTAAGTAAGAATAACATTGTGCATAATTTATATCAAATTTACTTGCCACAGATTTATTTTTCATTAATTCATGACAATTTTTATTCAATATTATTTCACTAAACGTATCCAAAATAACGTACAAAAAGCTAAACGTAAACATTTTTTTAATATTACATTATTTCAGTAGTCTCTTGAGGTATTCTATAGATTCATTTAAATTTTAATCCTAATATAAGTAACTTAATCAATAGTCTTTGCGTTTATTGCAAACTTCTTTCACGTTGAAAGACAAACGCACTGTCAGATGCATGCACACATAAATACACATATTACGTTTAAACAAATACTGAGCATCGTAATAAAAAAGGTGAGCGTTAATTAATGAGCTATAAAATACCAGCTCATTATAGTTCATATATTTATCGTACTTATCGTATTTTAATGATATGATCATTACAGTATTATTACCTATATTATTAATCATTAATAATAAATACACTTATATATATACTTAATTCTTATTCTTTTATAAAATTGCCACTGTTTACACTAGGACAGTTCTAGCTTGTCGAACAATTTCTTCTGCTCATATCTCTTTGTAAAGATTACATTCTTTTTTCCTCTTCATATATCAAAATGTATTTAAAAAATAATTTTTAACGTTTTGTATTTCTCAATGATTTTGTCTGTTAATAAATTAGTATAAAATAAAATTTATTAATGTGTAATAGTTCACATTTTTTTGTACATATGTATAGCTGATCACAATAGTGATCATACGGAAGATGTCGATAGATCACAATGAAAATGGAAGCGTTTTGATTGTTATATTTACAAACGTCATCGTTCCTCCAGGTTCGATTTGTAGATCGGTCTACTGCTGAATTTATTGTTCATGGAAACGGTATTGGTCCTGACCTGCGTGTACTTTGGCCTTTTGTATCGCGTGCTCCAGTGGAGATAGCTATACCATCCCGCCACTAAGACGCCTAATCCGTTACAAGTGCATGAGAAGATGAGGAGGATCGTCAGAATACTTTCTACTTCGGGACAATTAAGGTCGATATATCTAGTAAAATATGCACATTGTTATTTTAAAAGCATTTTTACATAACATCTTTACATAAATTATACGGTTATTACTAAACTTGTTATATTTATGTAATATAGATTTCCGATAAAAGAAAACAATTGAAAAAAATGCTTTTTATAAAGATTGTCTTCAGAAATGTAATATATATGTATATATTTCAATTTCTACGATTTTTTTAGATGCTCTAGAAAATGTTACCTAATTCTATCAATCTATGTCCAATTTTTTGAAATACCTGATTACACCTTCGAGCGAATCAAGCGATTCGCCGCGTGGTCTGCATACGCACGTAGCATTTAATACTCGTGCCGGAGTGCATTCCAGTCCCATAAGACGTGATAAGTGTATTGCAGAGAATATGCACGCGCTCACACATGCAATAGTTGCCAGAACCGCCAAAAATACGCTAACTACCTGTTCATCATGAAGAAACGTGATATAAGCGTGATGAAAAAAGAGTGTGCAATATTTTTGTAAGTAATATACGACAATTATTTTAGAAATAAATCAGAATAAAATTAATAAATCAAATAAAATCAAAATAAAATTAGTATTTTTCCACAATTAAAATTTTTTTAATTAATTAAAATAGAAACATTACACCTACATATACTATTGTAAAACAACGTATAATAATAATGCTGTATGCTTAAATATCTTGTACTGTTTTAACAAAGTAAAAATTAGACGAGCTGAATAAGTGGCTCGGCCTTGAAAGTGTCTCTAAGAAATCTCTACAATGAATCAGAATTTTTATTTACCTTCGTAGCGGAAAGACAAAATCCAGAAGTCAAAGTCGGATATTCCTTTTTAAAACAGCACAACAAGCAAATTCCAAAACTCCCGGACATCAAGAGCTGGAAATATCGAAATAAAAAATATTAAACAATTGAACGAAAAGAAAATATTACAACTTACAAAATGTTAATGCACAGCATACTTACGCGTTTAAAATTACACATATCCCATTTTAAACTTCTTATTGAAATATTTCGAAAAGTATAAAGGATACCAAAAAATATTTTACACAAAAGTTGATTTAAAGGGGATTAAATAATCTTCACGTAACTTTTAAAAAATAAATTTCAAAAAAAATTGATTTGCAAATATTACATGAAGTTCATTTTTTTAAATAAAATGAAAAGTTTTTCTTACCTAATATGATTCCATTAATTATTCTGTATATAAAAGTATTAAGGTAAATAACAAAAACTTAATATAGTTTATGAGATATTTTATTTTTCATTTTAACATATTTTAACATGAAATATGAAATATCTCGTAAGATATTAATCTTTTGATAATAATCGTACCTTAATACTTGTTTGCATAGAATAATGAAATAAATAAATTGATGTAAAGAAAACGTACAGTTGCATACTATAAAATGCATAATATTTTTGTTTTTACAAAATATTTCGATGCGAAGATTAAAATGAGACATTCTGTACAATTTTATTTCATACGAATAACACTGTGTAAATATAAAATTTAAAATGTTGTGAGAGAGTAAATATTTTTGTTATTAAGAAGATTACTTTTATTGCATACTTACCTTCAGTTAATTAAGAATTAAGCTTTTTAATAAGTTTTATAAAAAATCTGAAGGCGTATTATATTCAAAACCGTTAAAATCGATATAGCCAATAAATAACGGTTAGTCCCAATAAACAATCACTTTGACTTAAAACTATTAGGTACATACGATTATAATATATAAAAAGAAACAATACATCCTTGTTATTAAAAAGCATGATTATATCATTTTATAATACATATGTAAGTCTAATTGCAGCCATATGTTAGTGTGCCTATTCTAGCAAACTCAGCTTGTTAGATAAGCGAGGATTACCATTTTGTATTCTTGCATTATCATGGTATGGAATGCAAATTTAATCGCCGTATAAAATTATTGCACTTACGGGCATGCCACTCCAATACGGATTGTCCATAACAGGCAGATGCGGTGCCCAAAGCAACAACCATAATGACAAAGAAATCACCGCGACGCCGAGAATAGTCTGCAATGCCGCCAGACATCGAGCTAATCGTCGATGGTAGATCAAAGGAGGTAAAAACTTCTCTGGGCCTAAAAATATAAACCTACTTTTTACTCTCATGCTACCGTTATCGTTTCGTAATATCGCGTATCAATACATAATTATCGCTGGCAATCTATTACAAATTTATTCAGAACTTGTTCTGTGGATGATTACATTATTCGTACACACGTATTGCAAGTTAGCATATTACGCATCAACTTATTTATTTTAAAAAATATGGAATAATATCAAATAATACTAGACAAAATAAAAAAGTTAGATCATTTTTGAAAGTGATTAGGTAAATTTGAACACAAAGGAAGTAAACTATCTTCATCTTTTATCGCGATTCACATCCTTTCTTAGTTGTCGTGGGATTATTCTCGGAGGAAAAGTCGATAATTTCGTCACGCAATTCATCACATTGCGCCCATTAGAAACGTTTACTCGCGCAGATCTCTTAAGTTAGAGAGTTGAGACATGTAGTCGGTCGCCTATTAGGTAATTAGGTAATTCGACGTTGCGAAGATAGGCATACACCATTTTATCCTTCGCTACGACACACATTTCCCCATATAATACAAACTGCCGATCGTTGACCGATATCTCATGGTATTGAGAAACTTAAATCTGCGAAAGAAAGGAGAGTTTCCGAACAAGGTGGCCTCGTCACCATCCCTCCTTACAAGGTATCTCAACCGGTTAATGAATGATTGAACGTCCTTGCCATATCGAAAAAATCGCCAGGAAACTCGCCTACTACCATCATTTACACTGCAAGATTGAGTATTTCCCACTGGGATATTGAATAGAAAATGCGAGCGATCGCCTACCACCATAGCATTTTGCAACGGTATGCAAATGGCAGTTCCTCGTCGAGTTTCGTAAACATCAAGTATCTTTGATTTATAAGAAAAACTATACAATTATTATAAAAATATAATGCTGCTAAATAACGTATGTTATATCTCTTGATTTAAATTTTTTAAAGTATAAAAAAAATTCCCTATATGTATCTATATAAACATTTTTTATTTTAGACATATCGAACGGACGCGGGGACTAATTTGAAAAGTTAATTCTACGTATGTATGTATAATTACAAGAAAAAAATATGTTATGATTATAAAATAAGTAATGTCTTTTTGCAGAACTTCATGGGTGCAAGATATTTAAGAAATGCACATAGATATAATTAGAAATAATTAAAAAATGCATTAATGTAGAACGCATTGAGTTAATGTCTAATACGATGACATCTAATTTTTTCATCGCCATATATAACTAGATTATAAGTTACTTGAACTATTCTTCCTTTCTCTTCAAATGAAAAATTTGTTGTAATGTAAAAAAATCTAGGATTAGTTATTCAAAAATTACAAATGAACGTTGCAAGAATCGATTATAAATAAGTTTCTCACTAGTCACTATAAAATTTTCCGTTATAATAATAAAAGCGGATTTCCTCGTGAATGATA